TGCTGGAAGTCTCACTTAGGAGGCCAGCTTGCCTCCAGGCAAATTCACCGAAAAACAGGAAAATTAGCAGTAAGATACGAATAGAACAATTTCATAATGTAGACTACCAAGAGTCCAACCTACCACAGTCTTACATGCTAAGTTGATTGGGCAAGCCCATGAACAAAGTAGTTATAATTTCTCACCTTAGGGTCTGCGCAAAAGCACCAGCAGACACAGATGGCATAACCAGCAATGCTATATGAAAAACTCGAGCTTTATTTGAACAGCTTTGTGAACGCGCGAAAAGTGTAACGCACGTTGTGGTGCCACCATTCCTACCCTTGCAGGCATCGATGCCCAATCCTGCAACATAAAGAAAAACAGAGGTGAGAACGACTTTAGCCAACTGGCGTGCGCATTGGGTGGGAAGAAATGCAGAATACTCTCGCCTCATGTGTTATCCACAATGGTGTGTGCATGGCGTGTTATAAAAAATGTTCTACCCTACAAGTCCTTCCTTCACAACTTGCCCCCAATGTTATTGTTCGGTGCAGTCAGCATCACCAACAAAATTTGACTTCAATTAATATATTTTAATTTACAACACAAAATGGTGGGGGAGGTGTCACACGTCTTATATAAGTATTGAGGGAGAGTTCAAGGGCGCATTACGGGTGTGTTGCAGGCGGAGGGGATGTATTGAAAATACTTCAGATTTACATTACGTAATTTACGGATGGTCCCTAGCGTATTCTTTTCTTTATTGGAGTTAAGTTAATTATCTCAATACATGCATTTTATTTTCATCCCAGTTAGTGATATTGCATATTTTGTGAAATACCCGTAAATTACAAATGCAAGTTTATGTTACATATTTACAGCAAATGTTTAGGTCGCTTATATTTCGCCCGTTGATCGGGGTGGTATGAAGCGATTTCGGAAAAGAGAATTTTTGCCGAGTCAGATGCTTTTTCAAAGAATTTAGAAACAATGTTTTTGACATGATCTCTCAGCAGTAGCATTGATAAATTATTATGTAAATCCGTTATAGGAATGTACGTGGGGGCGCAGAGAGCGGGCCTGAGGCAACTTCTTTTTGAGTAAATACTTACTGCAATTGCTCAACTGGGGATTGCTTTTGCGGCCTAATAAGTGCTTTAAAAGCGCGAAGCAATTTTGCCGTTAACAGTTTGCTCCGCCAATTCATTTTCCAGTAGACACGTGTAATCCCTGTTTCATCAGCCACCTGGCTAAGCGGCTAGCAGGCGTTTTGTTGTTTGACCTATATTAAGCGGTCACCTCAACTAACAGCCATTTTTACATTATACTAATTATTTTTCTCATAAGACACGTGTAAATATTATCTTATCCATCAGCCAGGAACATTTTGTAGATTGCCCTCTATTAAGGGGGTCAAAGCTGACTAGGGCCTTGGTGGGATAAACTGATGTCCATAGGCCTGTACCGTTAAATACCACAGACCCCCCTGTAATGAGGTACCTCGACAGAAGAGCGACTGAGAAGAACAGTGAAGATCGGGGTATAGACAGAAGGTCCGTTCTCTCTCCTCGTGGTGGCCCCTGGGTTCTGTCTGAGGTACACCTTTGAGCATAGCCAATGAGAGGCCTAATGCTGGCCTTACATTAGCAATACGTTTCCGCAATATCTTTCCTCAATTTGTTTCTGCTTCTTG